CCCCAAAACCCCAAAACCCCAAAACCCCAAAACCCCTTCGCCAAAATTCTTAATTGTAAATTCGAATTTATTTTTCAAAACTACTTTGAAAGTTCAGGAGAAGCTTCATCCTTAGTCTGTCCATCACCACCTTGCTCTGCCTTAGGTTGAAGGTTAGGAGGAAGGATAATCTTCTGTGGGCCAAACATGTTCCTGGTCATCGATTCCTGAGGCACCTGCCTCTGCTCTTTCTTATCCATAGGAGGAGAGTTACCTCCTTCCTTTTGCTGATGAAGAGAACTTTCATAAAAATCATGGAAATTGCTCTGGTCAGAAGGCATCACTCTTCTTGGCACTTTTTGATGTTTTCTAACTATTTTACCATCAGGTGGAGCGTCATCAGTCTTGCATTGGGAGCAAGGCTGGTACAATGTCTCTCTTGCCTTTAGGGCCATATCTCTAGCTATGTATAACTCAGAGAGTTTATTTTTCCAAGATTCCCATTCTTTTCTCGGACTCTTGTATAGTTCTGTCAATGTCTCTTTTAGCTCTGTTGTATTGACTCTCTGATTTCTGAATTTCCTTCTCAGATTGCTTCATTTTAGCCTGTAAAGCTTTGTCCTCTTCATAGAGAGTGTTGATTCTTTCAACAATGGATTGCTCATCTTCTAGCACTTTCTCAAACTTTTCACGGACTTCAACATTTTCAGGTGGCTGGAAGTTGATTGAAGGTTTTGGGATTGAGGTTCTTTGCCCTCTCATCATCTTAGATAGTATTTCAGCTTCTGTAGAAATGTCTTTCCTCTCACTCTGAATGTTCTGGTTCTGGTAGTAAAGCTTTGGGTCTTGGTTTACTGCATATCCTTGAGGATATTGGTTGAGATAGATAGGAGGCCTCTCCACAAATTCTACAATTGGCTGCTCAATAACTTCTATTATTGGTTGGTCATGAATTTCAACCCGATTTTCAATTATCTTTTGGATCATCTCAGATTGTGAGGAGGTATTTTGATCTTGCTTGACTTTGAGATTCGTTCCACCTTTTTGAATATTTTCAGGCTCAGGTTTCTCAATAATCGGCTCTTTTTGTGGGACAGAGACAGGTTTAATTTTATTCACTATCAATTGAGGAACTCTAACTGGAACAATCTTATCAGGTTCCTTCTGTTCAATATAGGCTGGAGTAACTACAGTTCTCTCTGGAGGCTCATAGACCACAACCTCAGGCTTATGAACCACCTCAACTTGCTGTACAACCACTGGTTCCACATGATTAAACTCAAGTTGCTTAGTCTCTAAAGGTTCTTCCACTATTTCTATCTCATGAAAAACATCAGGTTCCTCTTCAGGAGGTGCAATCTCTTCAGCTTCGACTTCATCACACTCTAGCTCCACTACTTTCTCTTGTACTAGCCATGGTTGGGCTTGCTCTACTACAAATCCCAGTGGCTCTTCAAAAATCTCTTCGGGAGCTATATAAAACTGTTAGTGAAATTAAAAAATCATGAACAAATATTTCCCGAAGCTTAATCAACATAGGGGATTTACACTCGAATGTGAAGGTTATGAGGTTATAGAAGAAATTTAGGAAATTAGAAGGTTGTATTAGGAATTTTGAGAGAAAGTTAGCCTCCTGCAGGTGGTTGGCTAAAGTGGAGATTAAGCAAAGTAGAGGCAGAAGTTAGATGTTAGCTGGCTGATTAGGATTTGGGGTAGAGATTTGTAGGAAAAAAGTGATAGATTGCCAAATTTAGTGTATTGAATGAGATCACCGCGGTTGGAAATTATGTATTTAGTCATACAATCTTTATTAAATGATAAACTACGGGATATTCATGATTTACATAAAACAAATAGATTTTATTTGGGACAAGCTATAGTAGGCCATACTCTTAAGATAATAATGATTAATATTTGAGAAAAAGAGAATTTACATTACCTTCCAACTCAATTGGAGCTGAAGTTTCTTCAATATTAACATTAGTGATCTCTGTTGGAGGGGCCCTGACTATATTTCTGTTACTATAGTCGTCATAATATGTGACAGTGTCAACAACACTAATCCTTTCTTGTGGTGGCTTGACTTCCAATCTTGGACGAACAGGGGACAAATTTGTCACCATTTTAGGATATCTCTGCGAATTTGAGATCAAACCACCATTCATAGGATTGGTATAGTACCGAGACTCGTAGACCGCTTCATTATCTCCAAAATAAAACGGATCAGTCCTAGCTGAAGAGGCGTATTGAGGAGTCCTACCTGCACTGATGATTTCATTGATTGTACTATTGACAGCAGATGATTCAGAGATAGCTTGGTTTTCACCTTGCGAAGAGATAGCCTTCATATGTCCTTCACTTCAGTATCTATCAATACCAGATGAAGTACCAAAGGAAGCAATGATATTTTCAATTTCCTTTGAATTCTTCCTCGATGGGATTCCCCTGAACTGGATTTCATTGCAATATACCAATACAAGATATGGAATATTTTCTACTTCAAACAATTCATGAAGTGTATGATATTCTGGGCCAGAGGTATCAATCTCAAGCAATGTCATATCTTCGCTTATCTCATGGGCGAAGTCATAAATAGTCCTTCCTTCACGAGAACTAAACATGCCTCTAATAGATGTGAAAAGGCTACTGATAGTGCTTTCTTGTTGACCGTTAGATTCCCCAATTGCAAGATCAACTCTGGTTGGGTCAACAAAAAGAATGCCGATGAGCTTATTGGTATTATTCTGAATCACTTCTTCTGCTTGCTGGAGATCTACTGGCTCTATTATCTCACCTGTAGCAAAGTAAACAGTGAAGAGCATCAGAAGACCTATTGAAAGTAATCGGTGGGAGAACTGATTCAATTTCATCATTTTAAATTATCAATAAATTTCTTAAAAAAGGGGTTTTGGGGTTTTGGGGTTTTGGGGTTTTGGGG